TTCCGAAAGCTTATAGGCGAAAAGTAACAGTAATGTCGCCACACTACCATCGACTGTTCATTCAAATTAAATCAAATATTTCACCTGTGAACGGTTTAGATCTGCGAACAAAACCCAACGCACGAAGGCTCAAAAGCTTCAAACCTTCCAATATTTTACTTGCTACCCTCTCTTGCTCTTTTAACCTCCTCTCTTTCGCTCACCCTCTCTATTGCTCTGTGAAGGTCCCCTCTCTCCCGTCACCCTCTCTACTGCTCTGCGAAGGTCCCCTCTCTCCCGTCACCCTCTCTACTGCTCTATGAAGGTCCCCTCTCTCCCGTCACCCTCTCTACTGCTCTGTGAAGGTCCCCTCACTCTCTCTGTGCTGCTGCCCACATTCTCTTTGCGAACTTCTCAGACACTTTAGAGAGAAGAAAGCTTTTTCATGGAGGTTTTAGTGAAGAGAAGGAAAGCCAAATCGCAAGGAGGAGGATGTACCAAAATGCGTGCCACCTTTTAGCTACTGAAGAACTCCCAGTCAATCATGTCTTTCCAGTGGTAAATTAGAAGTATTTTTTTTTATTTTTTTATTATTTCTATTCATGCAAGAAAATTTCATGTGAATATCGGTTTTTGTTCAATTGGTTTTTTTGGGTATGTGATGAATATTAAGAGAATTATGATGTGGGTTTTGGTTTTTGCTCTGAAACTGTATGCATCGTGAACTTGCAGGAGATTGGGAAATTTAATAATTGAATTTCTTTTAGCATTTCTTCTTTTGTTTTTCAAACTAGTTTTCTTCCTCATTTTTTTATGGCTTCATAGCATGTTCTAGATGTTACCAAATAATATGTCATGGTTTGATTTAGAAACATTTAATTTGGAATCTTATGATTGAAATAACCATTTTTTATATGAAAATGGAGGGTAGTTACATTTTTGCAGTGGTATTTGGAAGGATTAATGGATAACATGATTTATTTTGGGTGAATCTATTTTTTTTTATTTCTCCCATCTTTTGCTGGTCTTTTGATTGGTAATGCAATGAATGCAACTGAATCTATAACTTGAAGAAGTTGCAATGAATACAGTTGAATGCCTGAAAAGAAAAAATAATGCCTGACTTTCAAATTAAATTTTAATACAATTATTTGGTTTTATGTTATGCTTCTATTCTCTATTTTACAATGCAACTTTTTCTTTTATATTTTATATAAATATGGGTTCAGTATTCATTTTCCTGTTTTGTGATTTTTTTCGTTGGGAATTTGAATTTGAGAAATGAAATTGTTGGTCATATTCATTTAATTTCTTCAGTGGCCTCCACATATTTTATTTGCTCTCTTTTGGGGAAGTGGGTTCATGTCCAATTGGCTAGTGAGACAGAAAGAAGTGATTTGGGCAATTTTCATCAAAATGCGGGCAATTTTCATCAAAATGCGGGGATGGGTTATTGAGTGTTTTCAGCTGATTGAATTCTAAATAGTTTTTTAAGATGCTGAAATGTTAATGCAGCTGATGGCAGACATTTGATTGTCAGCCAATCACCAGTTCTAGCCATAATGGCCATAATTGAACCAATATATGAACTTGGTTTTCTCATCTTTTTTATGATAGTGGTGAATTTTCTTGCATTTGAATCTAGGATTTGGGTGAAGTTCAGTCAAGAACCTGAAGAGATTCTGTAGTTGCCCTTTGATTTTTCATTTAACTTAAATTCTTAATAGACTGAAATCTAATTTCAGCTTCAGCTCTGTGTTCCGGAGTTGAAGTTTGAAATGAAATCTTGGGGTTTTACGTTGCTTACTTACTGTTAATGGTGCAATTAGGTTCATGCGAGATGAGCTTTTGTCTCAAGTATTAGAGGCTCTTCTTGTCATCTAGGGTCTTGTAGTACAAAAAACAAAATTGATAAGTGATTGCAATCTGCCATTAAATGTATCTCTTAGATAGTCTTTTGCTTAAGAGTAGTGAAAACAAGCGCCATTTGATATGAGCTTGCATTTCTGGTTTGCAGATCCTTGGAGAAGAAAGAAAGGGACGAAAATCTCTGGTATGGGATAGATAAGCAGTAGTATTTGTTTTATCTGTTATAATTAATGGGATAGATAAGCAGTAGTCTTTGTTTTCTCTGAATTGCTTTAGTATTCATTATTATATTATTTTTGCCAATTAACATTCGGTGTTATAATGTAGTGGGAGGACATCCACCATAGCAAAGAGCTCTTGAGGCATTCGGCTCCCAATAAAAGTGTTGTCCAATCTCGTTAGAGGAGCCCTAGAAGAACAATGTGAATGATGATGTACTTGGGGACATTGGAGAGAGTAGCTCACATTCGGAGCATCAGATCCTGACACAACCCATTACTACACCAGCGCTAACAGAGGAGGTTGGACGGGTATACTATGCTTGTGTCATGGATGTCTCAACATCAGCATCTCCTTCCTCTCCCCTCAACATTACTAATTCAAAAAATGGGAATGAGTCTGGTGCTCTGGCTATACTGGATGAAGCTTGCCATGACTTTCCATCTGATGAGGACATAGTTACAATAAATGGAGAAGGAGATCCGTTACATATAGATGCTGAGGCAGCCCTAGCAAGTAGTGTAATTATCGAACCGGCAATAGGAATGACATTTACTGACGAAGATGAAGCTTATAATTATTATAAAAAGTATGCAAAATTGGTAGGGTTTGGTATAAGAAAGGGAAGGACGATATGGAATCATGGTGGAAGAATTAGTCGGATTTTAGAATTCTATAGGCAAGGTTTTCGTAGTGAGATGTATGATGGAAGTGAAAATGCTCACCCCCATAAAAAATGTGGATGTCATGCAAAGATCCGCATTAAGAAGAATGAGAATAATAGATGGGTTATTGCGAAGGATGTAAAAGAACACCATCACATTCTCACAACAGCCAATATGACTAGATTCATTCGCTCTCATCGAAAGATACCAAACACAGTGAAAAGGGTGATTGACACAATGGAGTCTTCTATGGCTAAGTTTAGGGTTATGATTGTTTACCTTATTGAAGAGGCTGGTGGGGCAGAAAATGTCACTTCCATTGAGAAAGACCTTGAGAATCACATAACTAGAAAAATAAAATAATTGAAAGGGAAAGAGGGTAATGTTGTTATGAATTGGTTGCATACGAAGAATGAATTGGACCCTAATTTCTTTTATAGAGTTCGACTTGATGGGATGGGGAGGTTGTTTGGTGTTTTATGGGTTGATTCAAAGTGTAGATTATCAACAAAATTTTTTAATGATGTGGTAACCTTTGACACCACATACCAAACAAATGAATACAATATGCCCTTTGGCCCAATCCTTGGAGTTAATCATCATGCTAACACAATTTTCCTCGGATATACTCTCATCTTCAATGAGCCTACAGAAACCTTCATTTAGTTATATGAGAATTGGCTAGAGCCAATGGGAGGCCGCCAACCAGTTACAATTATCACTGATCAAGCTTTAGTGATAACGGCTGCAGTCAAGACAGTTTTTTCGAATACTAATCATCATTATTGCAAATGGCATATCATGGGAAAGTTTAAAACACATCTAAGCCATGTTGAGTATGTGCACCCATTATTCTTAGAGGTATTCAAGAAGTGTATTTCAGCCTACACAGTTGAGCAGTTTGAGGCTGATAGGTTTATAACCGGTATAAAAACTACACAACAAAGTGAAGGGTTTAATCGTTATTTAAAGATGTACGTCACTGCTGGTACAGGTTTACAAAAATTCATGAATGCTATTGAAAAGTTGCAAAACAAGAAGTTCACCAAAGAAAAAGAGAAAGATAGTAAAGATCTTACATCTACACATGTTCTAAAGACGGCCTTCCTTATCGAGGAGCATGCAGCAAAGACATACACTCAAAAAGTATTTAGAAAGTTCCAAGAAGAGGTGGTAAGGTCTTCAAATTGCCTTAGAAAAATAATAGAAGGCAATGATGAATTCGCCAAATATAAGGTGGAAGACATTGGAGGTGTGCCAATCCCTCGGACGGTTACATTCATTGAATCAGGGAAGAAGTGTACATACACATGTCAATTCTTTGAGCGTGTTGGGATCCCTTGTTCATATATGCTCAAAGTGTTCAACATGAGGAATGTATTGAAGATCCCGTCTAACTACATTTTGAGCCGTTGGACAATGGATGCAAAGAAGGGTGTCAAAGAGAAATGTGGTGTTAATAGTTCGATTATATCTAAATTTCTAAGTTTCATTCGACGTCATGAGCTTTATGATCTTGTGAGAATAGTTGCAGAGCCAGCATTAGAAAATGATGATCTATTTGAAAAATTGAAGTTGGGTTTCTCCAAGTTAGCTGAGGAGGTCAATGCAACAAGAGAGTCTTTGTCGAATGCTCATGCACCACCAACCTCCACTCGTTGCAATGCCGTTGAAGATGATGCATGTGGCAGTATTAGATCAGTTGATGTCTCCCCCCTTATACATATGCCCGAGTAGTTGGACAACCTAGGACTAAAAGGATAAAATCTTCATGGGAAGAAGGGCCAAAAGCTTCTATGCAGAAAAAATAGTCAAAGGAAGGGCTACGCACTGGAAGGAAGTATAAAGTTTGTAATAAGAGTGGACATGACAAACGTAACTGTCCTGTGAGGGCGTCTGGGATGTAGAGTTACTGAGGACCTCGAGCTGAATTGACTAATTTATGGGGAATGTAAAGGACTTGAGTAATTTTTTGATTTTTGGAGACATGTAAATACCCCTTTTTGTAGAAGTATTTGGGGTTATGTGAATATTCAATATTTATGTAATTTTGTGGGCATGTAAAGGACCGCTTTATGGGGGCATGTAAGGACCTCTATATGGGGCATCGAAAGTCTAAAGAATCTATTTGGTGACTTTTTGGTAACATATGTGTGACATTTATTTCTTTTCCATGTATTTCATTAACGTGTGCAATGTGGGTTTTACTTCGATAATGAAATGCATTTATATCCCCATAGTTCTCACTTTAGTTTATTTTTTATGTCGAGCGTTTGATACATTCTCACCTTTTACCACACTAGAGGGCGTGCACAAAAACAAAGCTGAGAATTTCATTCACAAAATATTGTGTGTTATTGTAGGTGATGACCAGATCTCTGTCTCTCTGTCTCTTTCTCTCTCTCTCTGTTTATATGTGTCTACAAAAAAAAAAAAACAAAAAACTGAATAATACCAGAAACCAGAGAATTTCATTCACAAAAGATTACCATTAATTCAACAACGACCAATTACAATCATTTACAAACCACTGGACTACCATTAATTAAACAATGACTAATTACAATCATTTACAAATCACTGGAAAGATACAAGGAGGTCAAACACCTCATGAAATAGGAAAAAAGATTTCACCCTTTTCGATGGTAGCTTGTTCTCCAATTTTGGAAATGAGGCTCAAAGTGTTGTATCAGAACTTCCATGCTAGCTTGTTCTCCATATATTAGATATTCGAGCCACCATCTCATTGTTTCATTGCTGCTTTGCTAATTTTTTTAGACCAAAAAGGTGGGAAAGCCGCTCTAAGAACATTAAGACTACTCTTCTTGCTTGCTCACCAGCCCTCGAGCTTGAATTTCAAAGAGATTAGTGGTCTTGTTCTTGTTGGTGGTTTGGCAATCGGCCAATTCATTGTCTAGAGAATCTAAGGCATAAGCTCTAATGAAATAAGTAGCAATAGGAATATCTCTCTCAATGAGCCAAGAGACAGTGGTTGTTGAGTTGTTGGGGTTGTAAGGTTTGAGCTGCTATCTTGAATTAGCATGTCTTATCTTTCTTGAGATCATCCACAGTCTTCCTCCATGCCTTGTCATTTTGGCTCAAAGGTGCATAACAAAGTTTAATCTTTATCTTCTTATATTATTGGTCTGTTCCATGAGGGAGAGACTGCTTCGAGGACCATGAGGGAGAGACTGGTGGTTAAGTGCCTCAATCTCGCCCTCCGGATATGGATGATCGGGCAGCATACATCTCGGGTTTCGAGGGAAGACCCAGGATGTTTTTGAGATCGCTCTCTCGGGAACCACATTCGAGAATGGGGGCAGGTGTTATCAATCGGTGAGAGAGGAATTTTAAGGTGGGTTCGGGACTTACTCGAGCTGGCTCGTGTGGGTGCCCTCTTAGATCACGAAGAAAGCGCCCCAGTAATAAAACTGGTTCGAAATCGCCTCCCTTGGCTTGTATTATTCTTATTTTCTGCAATCACACACATATGACAAAGGTTATAAGACAAGTGGGTCAGACCGTACCCTTTTCCTCTTTGATGAACGTACACAAGCATGTGTATTCAAAAAGAAAAATAAGAGAAGAAAGACATGGGAGAGAAGAATTCGACTGAGCGGGAGGATCAGAGCGGTGACTAAGCTGATGAATATTTGGCCTGACATGGTAGTAAAATGGGCTCGGTAACTAAGACCCGCTCATAGAATTACTACTAGACTTCATTATCAGTACCAACTAGCTAGGCATGATGGTTAGTGTGTCGTGACAACAAAGTGGGCCAAGTAATCCTGGCACAACAATATTACGGCTAGATGACAGGACTACCATAAGAGGCTAACCTCAATCCCTCTTCGTCGAATGAAAGAGTAATATAATGACGGTTATGAGGAAAGAATAACAAATGAAGTAAGAGAAGAAGGGAATAGAAGGAGGGAGGGAGAAGAAAGGAAGAGAAGAGCCTGGTAGGCGAGATAATAAAAGAGAGAGAGGGAAGGAAGACACAATCAACGCTATGCATTGTTAGTTATGTTAGAAGGAAGAGAGAGAAAACGTAGTCAACGTTAGGCTTCATCAACTGTGTTATACATAGAAGAGGAGAGAGAAGACACAATCAGCGCTAGGCTTCACCTACTGTAGCTGAAGAAAAGAGAGAAAATGCAGTCGGCGCTAGGTGTCACTGACTGTCAAGAGAAGAGAGAGAAAATAGAATCGGTGTTAGGCTTCACCGACTGTGTTAGAATAAGAGAGAGAAAATGCAGTTGGTGTTAGGCTTCACCGTCTGTCAGGAGAAGAGAGAGAAAATACAGTCTAGGCTTCACTGATTGTGTTAGAAGAAGAGAGACAAAATATAGGCGGTGTTAGGCTTCGCCAACTGTCAGGAGAAGAGAGAGAAAATGCACTCGACGCTAGGCTTCACCGACTATGTCAGAAGAAAAGAGAGAAAATGCAGTCGACGCTAAGCTTCACCGACTGTGTCAGACAAGCATAGAGAGAAAATGCAGTCAGTGCTAGACTTCACCGATAATGTCCGAAGAAGAGAAAATGAGAGACCCAGCCGGCGCTAGGCTTGCGTCGGTTGTGATGGAAGAGAAGCAAGAGAGAGACCGAGCTGGTACTAGGCTTCACCGACTATGACAGAAAAGGAGAGAGAGAAATCCAACTAGCGTTGGCTTCAGAAGAGAAGGAGAGAGATAAATCCAACCGATGCTAAGCTTCGTCGACTGGCTTTAGAGGGGAAGGAGAGAGAGAAATCCAGCCGACGTTACATTTCACCGACTGGCTTCAGAAGAAAAGGAGAGAGAGAAAAATCCAACCGGCGCTAAACTTCACCGATTGCAACAGAAAAGCAGGAGAAAGAGATATCCAATCGGCGTTAGGATTCGCCAACTGTCTTCAAAAGGAAAGGAGAAAGAGAAATCCAATCGGCGCTAGGCTTCGTCGAGTGGCTTCAGAAGAAAAGGAGAGCGAGAAATCCAACCAACGTTAGGCATTGCCGATTACAACAAAAGAGAAAGAGAGAGAGAAATCTAACCGACGTAAAACTTCACCGACTAACTTCAAAAGAGAAGGAGAGAAATAAATCCAACCGATGCTAGGCTTTACTGACTGTCTTCAGAAGAGAAGGAGATAGAGATGAGAAGAAGAGAGATAGAGAGAGAAACATGAAACATGGGAGGAGAGAGAAATAGATAGAGATGAGACAGAGGGGAGGAGAGAGAAAGAGATAGAGATGTGAAAGAGGGGAGGAGAGAGAAAGAGATAGAGATGAGAAAGAGGGAGGAGAGAGAAAGTAACCTGCCCGAAGGGTATCGACCATTTTCTTCTCGTTCCTCTCTTTCTCCAAGATGTACCCAAGAACTTCAGCAAGAGTGGAAATTTTATTGAATAAATGAAAAATGTACTGAAGGTCTTTACAATTTAGCTTTGCATGTTTACATAGAATTAGGCTAAAACATGGGTGTATGCCAAAAAAACTAGCTAGAACTGAAGATAATTACAATTTAATTGAATTTAAAGAAAATTTAAAAATGGGGGCAAAAGAACTTTTGCCCCTGCCTAATAATGTGTGAAATTTCAAAACAGTCCCTGCTGCTACTCGAGAACTTGCGTGATCTTTTGTGGCTGTTCCGGGGTTATTCTGATGCCCGTTTGATCAAAATTTTATTTTTTTCTTGTAGGGCACGACATGACGATCATTTTGATACCAACTTCGAGCCATGAACCATGTTTTTGAGCCATGATCATGAGACTTGAATTTTGGATGAATGTTGACAACTTCGAATTGATTGTGTGCTCATTCCTTGATGTTTCTTTGTGATTTTTTCATTGAATCGCACTGAGCATACCATCACGATCACATTACAACAAACATAGCTTGATTTCTTGTCTGGATGAAGATTTTGTCATCTTGAGTTTTTGACCGGAATCTTGAAATCCGGTTGTCAGAATTTACAGTAGCTTTGACAACATCGTGTGTGAAATCCAACCGTTCATCGTATGTGAGGTTCGGACCAGAGATAGCCTCGGACCTCGCACACATAATACAATTAGTTTCATGTCGATCTGGTATGCAAGCGTCGTGATCTGGCTGCTTGAACAAGGTGTGCAGCTGTTGAATTTTCTGCAACTTCCTTCACGGATCAGCCACTTTCATTTAGTTTTTCTCTCCGCTGGGGCGTCATCACGGGGTTACCACTTATTGAATTGCTCATCTTGATGAGACGAACACGCTCACCAAATTTGGGAGCGATCTGACTTGGAACGAATGAGTTATAGGCCCCGAAATTGAATCCCTGTGACTGTAAAAATAACCACCTTTAATGGTGTTTTGATGGAGTGAGGCCACACGGGAATAGTGCGCGGCCTACCCTTTTTCGGTATTTAACCCATAACTTTGTCTTGATGTGCCCGATTAAGCCGAAACTTGACCGATAGGGGTTTTCGACCATGCCGGATCTAATGGCAATGGTTTCACAACTGTTCGACGCACCAAAAGTATGGATCTAGTTCTAGGGTCCATTTCAGGGTGCAAGAGACTGATTTTGCTGAAATTGTTTATTTGTCTGATTGTGATGAAACTTGGAAAGTGGTATTTTGAAGTGTTGATGAAGATCTTGACCAATTATGGGGCCATTCTGAGACTGTTGGGAATTTCCACTGTTTTGTAGGCTTTATTGACCTGCTTCCTATCTGAGACCAAGGTATTGAAAAATACGTTCAAACAGCTTGCCCTGCAG